AGCTCATGAAAATGGGCTTCTCTGGACGGTGCTTACACCCTCAGCTGCACATCTGCCAGCCTATATACTGGCAATATGCCATTCAGTAAGAAAGTTACGGTTATATATATGGATTGCAATAGACAAATCTACACAGCTGACAGTTTTACTGCTCGCAGTTTTTTTATATACTTACACTGGCATATGCTAGCTGTTGAGTCAGCTGGATGCACACTGAGAAATACAAACATTACCTGAAGTCATATTGAAGCCAGTCTGAAAGACAGAAGTTCATCAGTCTGAGGTCCATTCTCCCCACCTTTGAGGGGTATGAAAGAAATCTTGAGAAAAGGAGCCAGATACAGAACTCCTCTGCACCTATACTCTGCTATGTAGCCAGAGATGCAACCTGAACTGTGAGGTGGGGTGGGAGAAAGCCATGTCTTTTTCTATGGGAAAGGAGAATGGCTGGGCTTTGTGACTGCGTTAACGTAGGGCTAAGGGTTCCCCTCAGGTCCTCCTGAACCCCGAGAGCTAGGATGAGGGCTGTGCTCAGGACAGACGTGCAGTTCAGTGAGCATTTGGGACTGCAGAGCAGCCCCTGCTTTGTCTGGCAACTTAGGGGGCAGGTGAGGGAAATGATTTAATTCCAAGCTGGAATTCCAGAGGGGCTCTGCTGAAGGCTGAGAGATAGGGTAGGAGCTGGGATAAGGATGCAGATGAAGTTCGTCACAAGTTTTGAGCTGAGAGGGACTCTCTGGGATCTGCTGCAGAGTAGGGGTAAGTGAATTCATGAGTCAACTGGATGCAGTCTGTGAAATACAAAGAGCTACCCAGGTCAAATTTAAGCTAATCTGAGAATTTGTCATTAGGCAACTAAGGCCCTTCAGAACAGGATTTCCACTAGAGAAAACATCTTTCTCAAATCCTGAGCAGTAAGAAAAGGGTTGTAATTCAATGAGTACTGACGTACTGAAGCGCACAGTACATCAAGGCCCAGGGTGCGCTTGTCCCCTTCAGGTTGTATAGCTGGTTGCTCAAGGTCTGATAAGAACTGTTGTGAAGAAAGCCAGAAACTGCTCCTGCCTAGGCTCTCCCAAACAGCTCTGGTGGAACACCTCAGCAGGGCCTCCCTGCTCCTTTCCTGGGGAGCTGCCTTTAAGCTGAGGCTCTTGACTCTCACCCGAGCTACGCTGCAGCCATGCCTGGGCCCAGCCCTGTACCCCATTGATGCAGACCCTGGCGCATGCATGCGTCTCCCCAGCTTGACCTTGGATCTGCCTCATCACCGTGGACTTGCCTAGTGATCGTACTCTTGGTGGAACCTCACTGCCATCACCAGAGCTGCCCTGCTCACCTTGCTCGGGGGGGTGGGACTGCACCAGGCTGGTGAGGCACCTGCCTCCACTTGCCCTGTTATCATGTTTGGCTCCCCTTGGGGAGCAGCCAGCCCTTGCTGTGCCCTAGCACCCTAACTCTGATGCTGCCACGTAGCAGAGCAGTGAATCCTCTTCTCCACTTCAAATACATGTTTATCTGAAGTCAGATAACAACTTTTGTCATTTATGCTAGCTCTAGGTGTGTCAGCAAGCAGCAGGAGTAGGGCTGCTTTTCACAGGAGGATGAGCCAGGAGCAGAGGTGACCATAGTGCAGGCAAGGGCTGTGACCTCAATGACCACAGTGCAGTCCTGAAGTTTCTGAATGGGAACAGGTATGTAGTAGTGGCTGGATCCACCAACAGCCCCAGACACAGCAAGGTAGAGTCAAGCCCAGGGTCCAGCCAAGAGACAGGACGGACTACCTATAATACGTGTCCGAGGTTCATCCAGGAGGCAGGACTAAAGATGAGGCTACCTGTAGCAGAGGTCCACAGTCTGTGCAGGAAGACCAGCCTGTATATCAGGACAACAGGAGACAGGACTGGACATGCATAGCTCAGGTCAAGTCTGGATGTCCACGCCTAAGTTTACATGGAGCCCATGAGTCAATGGCCAGAGGGTGTGTGGGTGGAGGCCCCAGCTGAGGCTGGCCAAGGTAATTAAGGGCTATTAATGCACTCAGGGCCCTGACAGCAGCTTCTCCTCCCATCAAGGTGAGTCCTCACACCTTACAAAGATCTGGCTTCAGAGGTGTACTGCTTGTGAAGTGCTTTTGTTGCTATTTGCAACGAAACATGCAACAAAACAATGCTATTTGCTATTTTCTGTTGTGGGCTCAGGCCAGAGAAGAGTCATCATGTGCAGTTTCAGGGTGATGCAGAGCCAGGGCAGGGATATGTCATGAGCTGGGATGAAAACATGGACCTAAGACAGACACACAGGGCCATGACAAGGTCACAGAGCTGGCGTAGGGACATGGCATGAGCAATTTGGAGTTAGACCATGGCACAGAGCCGGGGCAGTTACCACATCCCAGTCGAGTCCAAGATCCATCCAGGAAAAAGGGTTACCTAAAATGGAAGTCTGAGGTCCACCCAAGAGACAGGACCAGAAACAAGACTGGAGATGAGGCTACCAACAATTCAGGTCCAGGATTCATCCAGGAAGACTAGTCAGTAAGTCAGGACAGAAAGGAGCAGGGAATTCTAGGAAATCTCTGAAGGCGCTCAGTTCTCTAGCTCCAATGTTAACCCTGGCCCTAACACACAGGAGAGTTTGGGAATCTGCTCTATCTCCAAACATGCATTGAACTTAAACTCCATCCAGACAGCAGCCTCTTCATAGCTCTCAGGCGTGAGGAAACTCTCAGTTCCCCTATCCCCAAACCTAACCAACCTTTCCGTTCTCCTGCAGCTGAGCCCAGGGAGTCCTGTGCCAGTAAGCACTCCACTCTCACCAAACATGTTTTGTATTTCTCTGGGTTGAGATGTGTCCACTAGAATTTCCCTGGGGTCCTACTCAGCCTGGAGAGTAAGGTGAGGGTTTGGTGCTGTACAGAGCTCTAACTCCACAAGTGTTTTGAGCTGAGAGGGATCTTCCAGCGTATGGTTGTGGATTAGGTGGTCAGGCAATCGAGGGCTTTCCGAGCTGGAGTTGCACTGCAGTCCTGTTCAATCCTGAGAGGCAGAGTGTGGGCTGTAGTGGAGATAGAGCTGTAGCCCTGCATTTATTTGGAGCAAAGCATTGCCCAGCAGACAGCAGTCTGCCCTTATGCAGGGAGTTTCCCTATCTTGGCCCTTTCCTGTTCAAGAATCTCCCTATCCATCATCCCACACAGGCTCCTGACCTCGCAGTATACAGCTGAATGCATTTTGCTATAGAGACTTCGCTTTCATATGCCATTTTTGCTCTTCCCAGCCTATGCACTGTTGTGTCCCCTGCAGAACTCCTGTACTCCAAATTTTTGGAAGACGATCTCATTTTCCTACAAGATCATCCCTCTGGTCCAGTAAAAATGTAGATTTTCATTATTAAGCCCAAGTTTCTTATTATTATAAGAGAAGCAGCTGATGAAAAATGGAGTAAAGAGCTAACAGACCTTGCTAAAATTAAATACATCTGGTCTCCAGCATAGCATTTGTGTGCCGAGTTGTAAGGAGGAGACTAGGGATGAACTTCTGCCTTGGCCCAAGGAAGCCCTTTGGTTCCCTAGGGCGATGCCTTAATGACTAAGCTGGGAGTAGGTGCAAGAAGGTAGGTTTGGTTTTCCAGAGAAACTCTTTGGTTCTCCTGGTAAAACGGAGCCACTCCCTAGAGCACAATACAAGGTTAAGGGAGCCAAAAGGGGTACGCGGGTCTGACGAGTATCACTGAAACAAACAGCATCGGGTCCCAGCAGTACTGCCGGCCTCCACCCAAATTCCACTTTTTTTGGCTTTCAAAGCAGTATATTCATTACACCATTACAGTCCTATGGGTAAAACAAAAAACCAACCTCACACGTACACCGCTGAGCCTTTGTAGGGTCCTACTGGAAGCAGAGCAACTTCCAGGCAAGCTACAGGAACGCAGATGGGTGACCGCATCGCAGGGGTCAGCGAGCAGCACCTTCTCGGCATTACTGCTCCGCTGCAGTAAGCAGGCCAGAACAGAAATGGGACCTAAAAGACGGCCGAGCCCGTTTTGTTTAAAGCTAAAGGAGCATCCAATTGTGGGGTTTTTCCGGATTTCCCCCTGACGTTTAAAACTCATCCCCGCCTACGCTTTGTAGGCAGGAGGGAGAGCACCTAGTGAAAGACTGCCTGCAAGGAATTGCGCACGGTGTGCCAGACCCCCGGGGCCGGCTCAGCCCCCGGGGTGCCGG